TCATTGTCATGTTCGGTTGCCTCCAATTTTCCGCGCAGGAAAACTGATCGACCGAGCGAGACCTGAAACGGCGAAAATCGGTTGTGATGAGAACACAGTTGATTCTGCACACAAATGCGTTTCAACCAGTCAAAAATTCCCCAAAACAACTGAGTTACAGGGGGAAAATTGCCGAGATAACCTCAAAATTCAGGCAATAACAGTGCATAGCTCGAGCGTTTTTGCACCGATGTTCAAAAATTAAAAACCTTCTTCAAGCCTCGATAATTCCGCACACAAATGCGTTTCAACCACTCAAAAATTCCGTAAAACAACCGAGTTACGGGGGAAAATTGCCGAGATAACCTCAAAATTCCCGCAAAACCAGTGCACAGCTCGCGTGTTTTAGCACCGATTTTCAAGAATTAAGAACTGTCTTAAAGCCCCCCTAATTCTGCACATAAATGCGTTTCAACCAGTCAAAAATTCCCCAAAACAACCGAGTTACGAGGAAAAATTGCCGAGATAACCTCAAAATTCACGCAAAAACAGTGCACAGCTCGCGTGCTTTTGGTCGGATTTTCAAAAATTATAAACTCACTTAAAGCTTTCCTCATTCTGCACACAAAAGCGTTTCAACGAGTCAAAAATTCCCCAAAACAACCGAGTAACTCGAAAAAACTGCCGAGAAAACCTCAACATTTCCGAGATAACCTCAAAATTCACGCAAAAACAGTGCACAGCTCGCGCGTTTTTGCACCGATGTTCGGAAATTAAAAACCTTCTTTAAGCCTCCATAATTCCGCACACAAATACGTTTCAACGAGTCAAAAATTCCCCAAAACAACCGAGTAACTGGAAGAAACGGCCGAGAAAACCTCAAAATTCACGCAGAAACAGTGTACAACTCGCGCATTTTTTCACCGATTTTCAAAAATTAAAAACTGTCGTAAAGCCTCCTTCATTCCGCACCCAAATGCGTTTCAACCAGTCAAAAATACCGCAAAACAACGGAGTTACGGGGAAAAATTACCCAGATAACCTCGAAATTCATGCAAAAACAGTGCACAGCTCGCATGTTTTTCGGCCGATTTCCAAAAATTCAAAACAGTCTTAAAGCCTCCCTCATTCTGCACGCAAATCCATTTCAACCAGTGAAAAATTCCCCAAAACAACCGAGTTACAGGGGAAAATTGCGGAGATAACCTCAAAATTCACGC